ACAAACACAAATAAATAAATATATATATATATATATATACATATATATACATATATATATATATATATATATATATATATATTTAACCGTCTTGCGGAGATGCTATAATATATCAAATATATAAATGATTTATACGTTAAATATATTTGTATATGTAAACAAATATCAAATATATAAAAATATATAATTATAAATAAGATTTGAATAACTATATTTTAGAGTATACTAATATGTAGAAAATACATACATACATTTTATTTCTCTCCGACGGGGCCCTGCATCCCCCCCCCCGCTGGCGCCACCCCAGGTAACAATTAAAACCACGAATTGCAGGTGAGAAGACTTATTAAATAATGGATACAATATACTATTTGGATTGCTATACTGAGCGCAAGAGGCAGATATGAGTCTCAATTATCTCGATGAGGATGATAATACACTATATCAATCATAATTCAATTAATTAAAAGTATATTATTATCATCGATGTTATTAAAATCGAAGTAACTAATTACATGTTTAAGTAAATAATTGTGTAGGTATTCGTGAAGTCTATTATTTTGACAATATTAGTGGAGTACATAGGTGACATACAGTTACGTATCGATTGGATTCTTTAAAATCGGGGAGGGGGGCTTATGGGGAAGTGGGTGTCATGAATTCCTACTTGACGTATTTCCGAGCGGTATAGAAATGACTAGGAATCCCTCTTTGACATATAAAATATAAACACAGCTCACAATGTTGTAACACAACTCTCAAATAAACTTTTATTCTGTATAAACTCCAACAAGAGTCCGGTATCAAAACAATACAACAACATTCACATAAACATGTGTTTCAAAAAAGACCTCTAGAAAGATGAAACTGTCAGCTTATATAACCTAGCTGTACAACTCCAGAGCATTCAAGAGCATTCCATATTGCCTAAGTTCCTCATTGGTCACCTTACATCATAATTAACCAATTAGGCTTATTTGCCTCTAAAGTACACAAGATTCCAGAAACTTCCAAATATTACTCTTGGATTCTACATGGTGTCATGTGTTCCTATAATTACCAATGTGGTTTACACTGTTTCTTTGATCAATTAAATGTTATTCTAAAATGTTCTATGTATTAAATATGTTAAAGTAAGGCAAGGAATGGTAATTTATTACAGTGGGGCTCGATGATTAGGTGAGGGGGAACCGTCGCAAAATACATTAAGCTGATTTGAGGTGATTTGTTAACTACTTGACTGTGATTTCTTATTTTTTTGAGGAGGGGGAAGGGGTGGACCCCACTGGTGACAGACCTTCTTTGTTTGAAGTGTGAGTAGCTGATAGTTTGGTAAATAACAGCATCATTGTGCTGAATTGCGCATAGGCGTTGTTCATGAATAGACCTAGGTAGCAAACGCAGAGAGGCGATTTTAGTAGTTCACATGATTCCACAAAGACAGAGGGGCTGAAATAAACCAGAGAATCCGGAGAACCACCTCTATTCATAGAAATGGAATGGGTTCTTAAAATCAGCCAGAATACACTGGACTTACGATTTGAATTCCTTATCCTAAAATACTTAAATCTACCAATCGAGCCCCGGGAGAGAAACGTTAAGGCTTTAGTTGGGGTGCACCTAACTTACTGCTTAGCGACACGAATTGCTAAATGAAAAACAGGCCTCATTATATTATAATGACAGATTATCATTTAGACTCATCATCTCAAGATCAAATGAGTTTCTGGTGCTTTTAACTATTTCATTAGTACACTCACACACTTCCGGGTCTTTGGCAAACGTTTCTATTACACTCATACCAAAAGAGAAACCTAATCCAACCAGCAATAATGACTTAGGCCTATATCCATTACACAGATTCCCATGAAATAATACCAACAACACATGCAACACTAATAATTAGAAAAAGAGTACAAACAATTTTGTTCTTCATTTGATTGAACGTTTTAAACTTTAGTTAATAATTTGTTTTATATAATGTAATAAAAATGAAATAATGTGTAACAAGAAATTAGGTTACAGACGAACAAAATATGTTATATATTACGCTTATTTTGTCAAATCACGATACAAAATGAAGAACTCAATTGTGCCAAAAAAAAAGACATTGAAATACATCACAAAACGCTACAAACACCGGAGCTGCTGGGGGCACCCTCACCGGGGCTCTTCACGGCTCCTGACTCCAAGCGTATGGCTCGGGGCCTTCGTCCCCTTCGTTACGCCACTGATCCTTGTGGTTCTGCATTTACAATTTTCGCACTCCTCCCACGCCACAGATGGGAACCACCTTACGCCCCTGGGCTCCGGAGAAAAACAATATTGTTGATATGTTGTACAACTAATTTTTCTAAGACTAAAAATCGTGTTCGATGAAAAACAACTTGGGAACAACCGTTAATGAGATATAGACTTTTGAATATTCAAAAACTGCTGGAAAATGGTAGTTACTCCTTTCTGTGTCTTATAAAAATCAATTGTACAACATTTCTTATCCTCCGGAGCCTTGCTTTGAGCATTTTGTATCAGATGGGATACTTTTTTATAAATTAATAACGGTATAACGGTATAATAATGGAGACAAACTGTTTTGCGGTGGTCTATAATTTTCGGATTTTTTTTATCACATTATATACATGTATCATAAATATCATACATTATAATTCAAGCATTTTCGTTCTCTCTATGAACTGTCAGTAATACTGTAAGCATTTTTAGAAACATCATGCTTTGCAAATGTTGCAACATAATCTTAATGACACTATTTATTGCACTATACACTGTGCCATGGGTCCTCGATCATCATGTCCACATCACTTACTCTCGAATCCACTTCATTTTGCAATCGCCAGGCAACTAAGGCCTAATGATACAAATATATATTTGTTCAGTTTTTACTCGTGTGATTTGTTATGATTATTCCTAGTAAGGTGTGCTTGATTTTTTTTCCCTGGCGACATATACCAGCAATTGTGGTTCCTTTGTTGAAGGTATTCGTTCTTTATGCACAGGGTAGTTAATTCCTCTTAATTATCATGAATTATGTGATCATTACAATGCCGTTGAAACCCATTGACAAGCATAACAGAAATATGACATTAATCTAGATAAAAGACAAAACTTACCATTATCTGTACTTGCATAATGAAAAAGTAAAATTTGGTTAATGAGTAGGCCTAAAAGAACCATCTGTCCATTGAACGTAGCAGGCGCAAGGCCTACTGTGCATGCGTGAGCCTTTGGTGCCTGCTTCTTTCTAAATGAATCTTTCCGAAATGGGCTTAAAATTTCATCAACATAACAGCTGACGTCACGGTTTAAAAACGATCGTGTTGTATTTAAGAAGCAGTTCTTACCTACAATTGTACATTATTACCATCTTATATTCTATGTACGGAAAATGTATTTAAGCAAATATTATCTATTTTTATTTATTAAAAAAAAAAGTATACACTACCTTGAAGACCAAATCGATAGTAATTCAGTTTACTATTTACTTTACTATTGGATGGCAATGCCTTCAGGTAGTTTTTATATTGATTTACATCTGTTACCTCCGCCAAGGAGGATGTATTCACTCCTGTCTGCCTGTCTGTCGGTCTGTTAGCAAGATCATGTAAAAACTAAGGGATGGATAAAAAAGAAAAGAAAAAGTAAAAGGACAAGGTTAAGGTCACAAGAAAAAAAATATCGATTTTTTTTTTAACTTACCCCCTCAATCATAAAAGAAAATAATGGAATCGCCCTTACATGCCTTTACTGTTCTTTATCCAGGCACACGGTGGATGTATGCCCTCTATGACTGTTCTAGTTGTTTATGTATTTGTCACTTTTTTTTTTTTTTTTTTTTTTTTTTTTTTTTTTTTTTTTTTAATCATTGGACGTTTTACTTGTTGTTTGAATGTTTATTGTAGGCCTACATTATTTTAAACATCAACGTAATTCAGTTTTAACTGTGCTGTTGATGTAATTAAGGACACGTCCATCGGTCCTATATAAACAATCCTATTGCCACCATCAAGGATTTTAACGTTGATGATGCCTATATTTGTGACGTGTTTAAACATACTTAGAGCCTATGATATAACTATAAACTTTAGATAGATTGAAATTGAAATGCGGTACTTATGCGTGGGAAAGCAACACTAAAACGTTCCAGAAAGTCCCAATGTCCTCATCCATTTACCTAATAATTCCAGTTGATATTTAATTTTTCTTATGTCCACATTCCGTTGGTGGCGCAGTGCAGTTCACTTACGTATCACTACCCACTATCAGACATATCTTAAACTTTAAAACGTTCGACAATCACGATACAAAGGTGGACGTTAGCCAATATGAGATTGGATTTAGACCTAGCACCGGAACAGTGATGGATCATTTTTGATAACGCAGTTTGTGAACGGGAATAAAATTCAAGTGAGCTTTTTATAGGATATGATCTAGTTTGGTGTGAATAACACCAAGGACCCACTAAATCCGAAAAATGGTTTCCAGTCAGTGGTGTCCTTCTGCAGGTTAATTGTTAATTTCGACTGTGTAAAACATTAGGAGCTGTTTGTAATATTATATTATTAACGCCAATGAAGGACTGGTCTATTACTATTAAGTATGACGGTAAACAACTACTGGCTAATTCCATAGCTTCTCTCCTTTATTTCAGAAGGAGGGCTGGAATGAAAGTTACGAAAGCGCACCGTCTTTCGGATGAGACGTTTAAACCAGTTGGTCCCATGCGCATTATGGACCATGTGCACGTTAGATAACTCACACTCTTCGGAAAAGGGTAGGGAATTTTCTCCTGGTGTACTGCCCAATCACCAGCAAAAGCAGTGGCAGATCTAGGATTTAGCAATTGGGGGAGGGGTGGATAATGCGATTTGTGAAGCACCAATAGTAGTTATAGATGACCGGAAATGACACTTTTATAGTAAAATTCATCGTCATCACATCACCATTATAATTTTATAGTCAAAATGAAGCGCAAACAAATTTCTCATAATGTTTTACCAGCGATTTTCGGCAAACATACTAATTAATATGTGTGATGTACTAAAGAAAATAAATATTAAAATCATTGTCTTTGATGTATTTAATTTAGGCCTACCTACTTCAAAGCCATTAGTCCACACCAT